CGCCCGCGAAAGTCTCTACTGGCTCCATAGGGTAAATCAAAGGTGCGGTCGACCGTGGCGGTCGACCGCAAACAGATATATAAAAATAATAGTTTTGTAAGCAGTTTTTCTGATTTAAAACCATGTTTAAAAATATCAAATAAATTCTAAAAAATGTAAAACTTTGAAAAATGATTGTAGACATGATAATGCACATGCTACAAAAACTAGCTTTTAGAAAGGACCTCTCAAATGAAAAATATCATCATTTTGCAAAATAGTCAAAAACATGAAAATGTAAACATATGAGTTTTGACATTTTAGCTTAACCATGTTTTGAAACATTACAAAATGATTTTATAGACTTAAAGAGAGATAAATTATTGTTATGAAGTCTATAAACAATGAATACAGAATTTTCACAAATACAATAGAATATGAAACATATGAGTATATATATATACACACACACACACAGAAACCAATAAAATGTGTGTATATGATATTGAGCTTAAAGTACTTAACACACATAATATAAACTCTTAAACTAAATTACCCAAGCTTGTGATCTTCAATGAAGTTCTATCTTGGTATACTTGCGGATGAAGCTTGAACTTGAATCTTTAACTTTGAATTGTGTAGGCTTCACTCCATAATTCCACCAACCTCCATTGGATATGATCGTGGATGCGCAATTCCATCAATCATCCAACATATTGTTTGTCTAGAATAAATATAAAACACAAACACTAGACAAATAATATTAGATGTAAATTATTTATAAATCATCATCAAAACAAGAAGACCAACAGGATGCGCATGATTTGAAGTTCCATTGAAGCATATGTGCCCAACCTTTTCAGTAATTTTTTCAAAGCACCCACAATAAGAAATAATGTGCTTAATTGATGTGATTGGAAGTTTATATTTTGATTAGAGATTAACATGTTTTCTATTCCTTCAAACTTTCTAGGTTAACATATTTTCTACTCTTAATCAATTGTTTGAAAGTTAAAGGTGCATTTGAAATTTTATTAAAATTTTATATACAGACTAAAAGTTAATATGTTTTTCTAATCCTTCAAATTTTAGTGTTTTCTTTCGATCTCTCTCTTCATGCATGCACATGGAATTCAGTCATAAATCATGCATTATGCATATGAAATTCAGTCTTTTGTATACATTTGTGCATAGTGATGCTAGTAGCATTAGTTGCTCGTACACGTAGTAGACATGTAGCATTAGAAGTTATAAATGTGGAATTATAATTATTTATAATCAAAAATAGTTTCTATAAAAATTATTTTTTAATTAGTAAACCAAAAGTTCAAAATTATTGCTGAGGCTGTGTACCAAAATATAACTATCAACTTAAAAATTATTTCTATAAGAAAAAAAATATCATTTCTATAAAACTTATTTTTCTAAAAAATGAATTATTTGGTCATTTTTAAAATATTTTTATGTTTTCAAAATACTGTGTTTTTGTAAGGGCATTATTAGAAAACTAAATTTTATTCTCACTTGTGAACAAATGATATCAAATATGAGAATGAGAATAAGATTGTCATTCCCGTTTTATTCTCTAAACGCGTCCAAACATGAGAATGAGAATGCGCATTCCATTCTCACATCTATTCCATTCCATTCCTACCATCTTTCCATTCTCACTTGACTCCAATCCCTCGTACCAAACGAGGCCTTATGGATTTTGAAATTTCATTAGAGACACATCTCATAGTTTCATGCTCATGTTATGTTTTTGAATGGTAAGTTATTTTCTTATTTAACTCACTTGAATTTTCAAGCTGCATGAAAACAAATAATTACTAACCATGCACGTAGGAACCGTGACATCACTTCCTCCAAAGTAAATCCGACCACAGGACAAAGAGCCCCTCTCTAGAGGATTTGGATCAGACTTAAATCTAGAATCGATCCAAATCCCCACCGAGAAAGGGAAATGGAGAAAAAGAGAAGTTTCTCTTCTACGGTCATAAGTGATAAATACCCTGCAAAATATTTGAAATTCCAAGTACAAAATATTTGGATCAGACTTAAATCTAGAATCGATCCAAACCGTGCTTTTTAAAAAAAAAAAAAACAACCCAGCGTGGAGGAATATCGGGAGCATGACTAATAAATTGGATTGTTCCCGATGTCCCTTCATCTCCCACACGACCCGAGTCCAACTCCTGTCTTCATGTCATCAAATCCCACTGGAAAATTCCAGTTGTACTGCAAATAACACAATGTACTGCTCAGCTCAGATATTGCCACGTAGGACCCAGCAGCCCCTTTGACTCGTTACAAGGATCAACATTTATGAAATCCAAAATTAATTAAGACGGTTAATTAGTCAAAGATAGTCGGAATGTTTTCCTCAGGTCCTCTTCCATGAGCACTCCCCTAAATTTTCGAAGTTCCCATGGCGCTTGTGCAAATCTACAAGGAAACTATTGAAGGCTAGCTAGAAAGTGGAAACCAAATGCCTCCTCAGCTATGAAGTTTCTCTAGTTCGTAGTCATTTTAGGCTGTAGTTGGTGATTTACAATTTATACTGGTAACTACAATAGCTAAAGTACAAGACGTGAGTTTTCTTCAAATTAGATGCAGATGCCAAAAACTAAACCAAGAAGGAAAATTTTCTATTTAGATATAGTAGAAATTTTCTTAAGCTATAGTTATCCTCATATTTGACTACAGTTTACAAATGTAAGAAATGATTGTTAAACCGATGTTCATCAAGTATTACGTACGTAGTTCAAAGCCATTTAACTACAAAACTTACCTTAAACATATTTAAACTGGAAAAGATACAGCAGACCCCAATTTTGTTGTCATTAGCTAACCAATTAGGGCTGAAAACACTTTTATGGACCGAAAGATTAACATGCCCTCTTTTTTCATCCTCAAATTCCGTCCTAACTTCTTTCTCTGTTTACTTTTTTCCTTCTCTGTTGTGCATTGTTGTATTTTAATTCCACGCCCCTATCTCCTCGTGTTGATGCTTTTTTGTTTCCACCCCCATTATAATAATAAGATCCCCTTTTAATGTGTCTCTTTCTGCTTTCTCCATTTGCCCCCTTTTGCATCTTTCCTTCCTCCTCGCAAGCAAAATAATAATAATAATAATAATAATAATAATGCCAAAATTACCATCCCACCCCCGAACCTGACCCCCCTCACACTATAAACACCCCCCTGCTCTCCTTAATCATTCACTCCATTTCACCAACTGCTGAAACACATTCATCTCATTTCACCTTCATCAGTAACTCACCTGATTCACGTTCTCAACACCTCTACAATATTTTCTCTACCTTGTTTCCCATTTATTGCCAGCTGCTTTTGCCTCCTCTTTCCCTTCTTCTGTCTGTCCAATGTGACGAGGTTACAGGTGCTGCAAACAGAGGAGGGACAATCACCAAGAGCTATTTTGATGTGTTGGGCATCTGTTGCCCCTCTGAAGTCCCTTTGATTGAGAAGATCCTGAAGCCTATCGATGGCGTGTACAAGGTTTCAGTCATAGTGCCTTCGAGGACTGTCATAGTTGAGCATGACCCTCATCTAATTTCTCAGTTTCAGATAGGTAACGGTTCTCTGTTGTCATGAATTGTGGTGGCTTATGATGCTTGCTTGTTTATAATTTCATGCTTTCAAGCATTTGGGTCCCTAAGAGAATTATTAGATCAGAAGCAGATAGTTGGTTTCAGTCGATCTCAGTGTTGTGGGGCCATATTAATGTTAGTGCTCTAAAGGTTACACCGACCCGGCACTTGCCCAAAGCTATGGCCAGGGTAAAGATGCTGTAAAAGGGACCACCCTAACATAATAATTCCAATTTAGATTTTACCTTTTTTTTTCAGGTACATATTAATTCAGGACCATGAATAGTTCAATAGTAAATATAAAGTATGATTTCGGAATGAAAAAGAAATCTAAATTGAAACAGAAAGACTGTATGCAGCTATGAAGATGATGGGCCTGTATGGTTACCTTTTCTTTTATGTAGGGACATTAGCATGATGCAATACACACTCAAAGTCTTTGAACTTATAATGGTAGCAAAGATAGTTACCTCTAACAATTTGATTTGTCTGATATAACTTAACTATCTGGAGAATTTGTTATAACCCTTGTATGTGCTTCATGTCACTAGGCTTTGGATTCATTTGTATGGATTTTATGGTGATGTTACAAGAAAGGGGTCCTAACTCTGAGACAAACCGAATATTAAAGGTTAGATTACCGCTAGGGAAGTAGTTACCAATACCAACTTTGAGTACAAGCAACATACTGTTGCCTAGCATTTGATGGTTGATGCAAACATTTGTTTGAACTGTGTTTAGGATAAACTATGTTTTTGAGTTTGGCTTTTGACTACTTGATGTAATGCATAAAAAGACATGCAATTTGCATTTCTTCTAGTCTAATGATTTTGCTTTGGATTTTCTAACAGTTAAGGCTCTGAACCAGGCAAGGCTAGAAGCCACCATTAGAGCTTACGGCACTGACAAAGTCATAAACAAATGGCCAAGCCCTTACATATTGGCATGTGGGATGTTCCTTCTAATTTCTTTGTTGCAGATATTTTTCCGCCCCCTTCAATGGTTAGCCATAGCAGCAGTTGCTGTTGGCTTACCTCCAATTCTATTGAGGAGCATTGCCGCTATTAGAAGATGCACCCTCGACATAAATATTTTAATGTTAATTGCAGGTAAGTACACCTTTAACATTCTCTAAGAAATAGCTAGTGTGTTTCTGAAATCTTGGACATTTTCGATGGCGAAAAATGGTATTTAGACATACAATAACACCTAACATGTTGTAATCTATTGTTATTGACCTTCTCTTTTTCATGAACTTGGCCAGCAATTTTGGGTTAAACATGAAGATAATCATTTTTAGACTAATTATTTGATAATCAGGTCCTGTTTGAGAAATGCCGAGCACTTTTTCCCTCAATAAATACATATGCCACAAAAACATATAAAAACTTATGAACCAAGAAGATCATAGTGAAATTGCATAGCATATACTCCTTTATGGAAAAGCACCAGATATGGAAGGGACTGGCACACACAATACTTCCATGTTGGCGTTTACAGCCCCTCGGATAAAATGGTGTAGATTTTTCACTGAGTACATGTAGGATCCCTTCTAGCAATGAACCATAGTTAAGACGATTATGGGAATGAGAAAGTGTTGGCTGATAACTTTATAATTACTACTTATCCTCTGACAATAGGATCACCCCCAACTGATTAGACTGAAGCTTCTGTCTAGGCTACTTTTGGTTTTCTGTTAATTTACATAAAAACATGAAATTTAATATTTGGAAGGGCGAGTACTTGCTTATAGTTTAATCATCTAGCATTAAGCTCACAGAGTGCATGACTGTTTGATAGCATGCTAATATTAGATGCTATTTGTGAAAGGATTGAAGGCATATAGGATGAGTCAATTTAAAGTAGACAGCAGAGCACATCAATCAACCCACTGAGGCATTCAGTATCTTATCCTTACACGCCACCAGGTTTTGGTTGATGCAAATAAGTTGAGATGTGGCCAATCAAGATTGATGGGGTTCACATTTAGCATAATTGTTAGCTGGCATGGTTTGCATTCTTGATGAACGTTATGGGTAAAGTTGGGTTGGTATATGTTTTCAATAACATGGCGACTCCGTACTTTTTCAACTCATTCACATGGGAGGTATGGGTGACTGTCTTTTAAGTAGTTTACAAGATTAACATACTTTTCTAAGAAAGATTGTTTAAAAAACAAAAAAGGAGCTACTAAAAAATGACGCCTTTTGCGAAAAGAATATGAATTACTCACACAGTCCGAGTTGCCTTTGTCCGGCATCTTTCCTGGTGTTGGTAATTTTGTATGCCTGGTTTATTTGATTTAGTTCTGATCAGACTTGGCCAAGTTTTAGATTCCAACATTCTCACCCACCTGAATCTAATACCTCTTAAAAAGAATGTCAAAAAAGTACTTTATATTTGAGTGCATGAAGTTTCATCACATATTTTTAGGTTACGCGTTATTTTCCACATTGGAATCATGTGTATGAAGAGATTCTCTTTGGATTATTTGGAGCAAGCTATGTACATATGTTGATTAAAATTTATATAATCTTGTCTCTTTTGAACAGTTGGTGGTGCAGTTGCACTAAGGGATTTCTCGGAAGCAGGATTCATTGTATTTCTCTTCACTATAGCTGAGTGGCTCGAAACAATGGCCAGTCACAAGGTATGTCTCTTTCAGACATGCATTTTAAAATCAGAAGGCCAATGCGTGTGATATTTTTTTCACAATTCAACTCATTAATCCTTATTAAACCTACAGAAGTAGACCTATTAGTCCTTGAATTGAGTTGTGATGACCTAGATGACATAACACAACACCTGCATTCACAGCATGTACGTATTATTTAGATCACAATACACACAGTCAAGCCTAATCGAGATTAAGAGGGACTAGCCCTGTCCTGTGTAAGGTCAGCTTAATACCTAGTTGATGAAGTCCTTTACAAGGGCAAACCATGTCTTAGTTTTGTCATGCTATATGAATGGGGTTAATAGTAAACTCTAATGAGTTTAATTGTTGTTTCAGGCTACTACTGGAATGTCAGCGTTGATGAGTATGGCTCCTCAAAAAGCTATATTAGCAGAAACTGGCCAGGTAGTTGATGCCCGAGATGTGAAAGTTAACACCATCCTTGCCGTAAAGTCACCGATTGATGGCATCTGTGGTTTGAGGAAGAGTGAAGTCAGAGCAAACATTCCCCGTGGTCAAACAAGCCCAATCTGTTGTGTGGGCCGGTACCCTCAACATTGATGGTATTATACCTTTCTTGTCACTCTGTTGCATCTTATGTTTAGTTATTTACCTTTAATGACTTGATAAGGTGTATTGCAGGTTATATCAGTGTGAAGACAACTGCTATAGCTGAGAATTCCGCTGTTGCCAAAATGGCAAGACTGGTGGAAGAAGCCCAGAACAGCAGATCCCAAACTCAGAGATTGATAGACTCTTGTGCCAAATACTACACACCAGGTTGGAGAAACTCCTAACCAAAAAGACACCTCTCTCCTAGGATCCATGAAAATGGTAGGACAACCTATATAAGTAACACTATATGATGAAATTCAAGTTGCCTGGCCCTTACCATTTAAATCATTTGATATCACCTCAACATGACACACAAGAATGCTTTTGAATCTTTAGGGCATTTAGTGAATCAGCATTCCCATAATCTAGCATGATTATACTTGGGTCTCCAAAGAATTAGACGATAGACTTCTTGTGTGCTTGTGAGGGATGCATCTTATTTATTAAACAGTCAATCAGAAACTGAAAACAAGATACTTTATCTGCATTTAGTAGACTAAGCTGCATTTAGTAGACTAAGCAGACTAATAAAACGTATGTACATACAGAAATCAAGAAGTGTGATGGATGCCTAATTATTTTACCTGATGCAATCTGCAGCGACGGTGTTAATAGCAGGAGGTGTGGCTATAATTCCTCTCATATTGCGGGTTCATAATCCCAAGCATTGGTTCCAACTGGCACTTGTGCTACTGGTGAGTGCATGTCCATGTGCACTGGTGCTATCGACACCTGTTGCAACTTTCTGCTCATTGCTGAAGGCAGCCAGAATAGGGCTTCTCGTAAAGGGAGGGGATGTTCTTGAAGCCCTTGCAAGGACTAGAGTTGTGGCTTTTGACAAGACTGGGACCATAACCAAAGGCGAGTTCCATGTCGTGGAACTTTGCCCAATTGGTTGCCAAGTTTCTGTGGAGACACTCCTTTACTGGTAAGGATTTGGTTAAGCACTAAATAAGTCTCATCATGCACACATACCAACAGATGAAAAAGACTCCTGTGTTGAAACAAAGAAAAAATTATCCGTTAGGGGAAAAAAGAAAACTGAATCCTTAAAAATTCAGTAGATGGTCTAGGTAATAAAAAAACCAAACAGTTAAGCCTCTCGGGCAGGAAAATTATATAAATTAAAGCATTTAATAAATCTACAGAGAAAGCATACATGTTATGTTGTCAGGGGCTACATGCTCTAAATGTTGGCTAAGCTCAAGAAGATCAATGGGTAGGATAAACCCGTGGTGTAAAAACTAAGTTAAGGTGAATGATCTCCAGCAACTTCGAGGTTCGACTATTTAGAAAACAAATCTCATTCTATTTAACCAACAGGTAAGGAAGATCAAGGTAGGAGCGAATATCTAAAACTTTATACATGTAAAAGACACACTAAATGACTAACTGCAAGCCTGTTAATAATCTGAGCCTTTTTTTAGTATCATACAATCCTATAATCCAAAGAAATGCAGGATCGACTCTACTAATGTCTTTTTTAATGAAGTAAAATTTTCACATGACCTGTTTTCTTACAGTTGCAAATACTAATTGTATGATAACACTTCAGGATTTCAAGCATTGAGAGTAAATCAAGCCACCCAATGGCTTCTGCACTCGTAGACCATGCTCGATTGAAGTGCATTGAGCCAAAACCAGACAATGTAAGTGAGTTTCAAATCTATCCAGGTGAGGGAGTTTATGGAGAAATAGATGGCAGGAAGATATATATTGGGAACAAAAAAATTGCAACAAGGGCTCGGTGTGATTCAGGTAGGAAGATATTATCATGGTTTAAAGCTTATATTATATGAATTGTCTTGAAAATTAAATTCTTAAGAAACCTTTAATCTTCATTTAGTGAATTTGATTAAGATCTACTACTTAGATGAGAAAGCTTAGTTGGAAGACTAGAAAGGCGGATTGTCAAATATCCTGCCTTATTTTTAGCAACTCATGCAGTTCCAAGCTTCTTCATTGCTGGCGCAGATTCATTGTGCCTAAACCTGTATATCATATGTTACAAATAATTGAGTAGCTGCATCAGTGTGAGCTTTCAGTAGAATGATCGCAGTTTGGAAGTATGCTAAAGGTAGGTAGCTAGATCGCTCCGAACGAAAGAATTCAGTACATTCTTGTACATCTGCATGCTAGCAAATTGAAGAATTTGTTTCACTGGCAGCTTTGTCGATACAAACAATAATTATAACCCCAAAAAACAAGTAGTCTCTAGTTTAGTTTTTATCAAAGAACTAAGGGTGAACGCAAAAGGCAAATAATGCTTAAGGGCCCTATTGTCTTGCACAAGGTGGACCATAGATATTACTAACTTCACCAGATTTCTTTAGATAGACAAATAATTGAGTCTACCATCAAAATATATCAACTATCAATGGACACTTAGACCCATGTCTCTGATGCAACTGAAGTAACTCTACATATTTACTTAGAGAAATCATAAATGCCTAAATTTTATGCCTATATTCTGAGAGAAGTATAATCGTATAAGTCATGAGAAAGCACACAACTCTGCCATAATCATTTCCTGCTAAAGATTTTTTTCACTATTCTTTTGAGGAGTACTAAGGCCCTGTTTGTTTATACCTTTCAGTTCCAAACCCAGAGAGCGAAGGCATGAAAGAAGCAGTCACCCTTGGGTATGTGTTCTCAGGTACAACACTAATTGGAATGCTGACTCTCTCTGACAGCTGCCGAACAGGGGCAGCTGAAGCCATTAGAGAGTTGAAATCTTTAAGAGTGAAAGTTGCTATGCTTACTGGAGATAGCACTGCAGCAGCCATGCATGCCCAGAATCAGGTACAAAGAAAAACGCATGTATAGATGTTAGAACAAAATCAAAGATAGAAAAGAAAATGAAGAAATGCATCACGGCGAATTGAAGTTATAATCATGGCAAGCGGTCTGCAGTGGTCAAACAGCTAAATTTGGTCATTAGCTAGGCATTGAAAGTGTTTGATACAAATTATCAGAGTCGAGTTAAGGTATGACCTTAGGACCTGATTATAACTAAGGCCTTGTTAGAATTTGAACCACTACTTTCCATCACCCCCTCTGATTGCGTTCACTTGCCTTAAGGGCAACTGTTAGACCCACAAAGAAAAGTAAATAAATCAGTGCAAGGTATTTCACAAGGTGCAAATTAATGCATAGAGGTCTGCAATGTATTATTTACTTGCAACATCCAGGATACCTCGAGATAAAAGAGACATGAGTAAATAATTCATAGACGAGATGCTAGATATGGACATTGCCTCAACAAAAATGCTATGGCAGATTAATAATGGATGACTATATACATGTTAAAAAAATAAAAATATATTATTGCTAAGTAATTGTTAATAATATTTTGACAGTTGGGGAATACAATCGAGGTACTGCATGCAGAGCTACTCCCGGAGGACAAGGTCCGAATCGTCAATGAGCTCAAGACCAAAGAAGGTCCTACAACAATGGTTGGAGATGGAATGAACGACGCACCAGCACTTGCTGCAGCTAATGTTGGGATCTCGATGGGTATCTCAGGCTCTGCAGTGGCAATGGAGACAAGCCACATAACTCTAATGTCCAATGACATCCTAAAGATCCCAAAAGCTATCCGGCTTGCCCGGAAGACACACCACAAGATCATAGCCAACATAATCTTTTCAGTTATCACAAAGATTGCTATCCTTGCTCTGGCGATTGCTGGCCATCCACTTCTGTGGGCTGCAGTTCTAGCCGATGTAGGCACATGCCTAATTGTCATACTTAATAGCATGTTGCTGTTAAAGTCTAAGTCTCCAAAGACAAGTAAGAAATTCCACCGTTCTTCACACACTTCACATGTGCACAAGCACGAGCATGCAGATCACTGCAGCAAAGGTTTGTGCAGCTCCGCGAAAAGTGACCACAAGCACATTGGATCAAAACATTGTGGTGATGGTCAGCATGGAGATCACAGGCACAGAACTGCACCCGAAGATCAGTGCTCAAGAACAGAATGTTGTCAATCACAAGATCAACTACATCATTTTCAAGAAACAGATAGACCTGCAGCAAACACAAACCGCAAGCATCTTGAGGGTTGCAGAACAGAGCACTATTGCAAAGATTCACATGATCGACTTAAAGCAGATTGTCACAGTAATCACCATGGTGATGACGCACATTTTCAGTGTGGAGTAGGTCTGCATTTTGATAACACATGTGTCCAACACCAGCAAACACATCTAGATTGCTGTAATGAGACTGAAAACAACCACAGTCAATATGCGCATGCTGCATGTGGAGCAGGGCATCATAATGATGCCACAGAGGACCAGAAACTGACCCCTGTGAGCTGCTGTAGTGGTTCTGCGACAGAACACCATCAGAATAATGCACATACCGAAACGCCAAACTGCACAGATAGCTGTAAACCAGACATGAGCCATGAGCATGTCATTTTCATGGAAGATGGGCATGGAAAACATCATCACCATGGAAATGATGCATTGAAGCACTGCAACAGTCACAAAAAGAAAAAAGAAATTACTGGGTGTTGTAATAAGTCTGAGAGGAAAGAACTCCAAATAGAGGAAAAGGGAACAGCTGGTTGTTGTAAGACTGAGATGGAGGAGAACGAGGAGAGGGCTTCATGCTGCTTATCTTCTGTGCATGGAACCATTGGGAGAACAGAGATTGTGTGTGA